CCCACCTCGGCCTCCCAAAGTGCTGGGATTACAGATGTGAGCCACTGAGCCTGGCCTATTCTTTTTTTTTTTTTTTTGAGACAGAGCTTTGCTTTTATTTCCCAGGCTGCAGTGCAATGGCTGATCTCAGCTCACCGCACCCTCTGCCTCCCAGGTGCAAGCAATTCTCCTGCCTCAGCCTCCCAAGTAGCTGGGATTACAGGCATGCACCACCATGCCCAGCTAATTTTTTGTATTTTTAGTAGACATGGGGTTTCTCCATATTGGTCATGTTGGTCTCGAAATCCCAACCTCAGGTGATCCACCCACCTCGGCCTCCCAAAGTGCTGGAATTACAGGCCAGTGTGCCCAGCCTATTCTTAATGAAGGTGATCACTTTGTAAGGTAGTGAGAAGACAGCATCTGGATGAAAGGCCAGTCCTGATCTTCACCCAGTACACCACCCACCTATAGTTCAGTACTCCTACCGCACACAGACACGATTCAGTGAGAGGCATGAGGTACTTTACCTCCTTCCGTGTGGGCTGTTCAGCAGGCAATGAGAATTCAGTGAAAGGTTTGGGCAAGTTCTGGCTCCTTGCTGTTTCTCTGTTTGATGTTTCAAAAGATGTCTGACTTGTACTTTCATCACCCTAGTCAAAAATAACAATTTCTAAAGAGATGTTTTATATCAACTTTATTCACAATGTTTTTTTCCTTTTTCTTTTTTTACCCTAATAGCATATTAGAAAAATATGAGCAAGCCACTATGAGACCCCCCAAAATTAAAGCATTATCTCCTTGGACAAGAAAACACAAGGCTTGAGCTGGGCGCCATGGCTCACACGTGTAATTCCAGGACTTTGGGAGGCTGAGGCAGGCAGATCGCCTGAAGTCAGGAGTTCAAGACCAGCCTGGCTAACACTGTGAAACCCAGTCTCTACTAAAAAAAAAATACAAAAATTGGCCATGCACGGTGACTCACGCCTGTAATCCCAGCATTTTGGGAGGCCCAGCCAAGTGGATCACTTGAAGTCAGGAGTTTGAGACCAGCCTGGCCAACACAATGAAACCCCACCTCTACTAAAAAAATTACAAAAATTAGCTAGGCGTGGTGGCAGGTGCCTGTAATCCCAGCTACTAGGGAGGCTGAGGCAGGAGAATCACTTGAGCCTGGGAGACGGAGGTTGCAGTAAGCTGAGATCACGCCACTGCACTCCAGCCTGGGTGACAGAGAGTGACTGTTTCAAAAACAAAAAAAACAAATTAGCTGCAGCAGAATAATCACTTGAACCTGAGTGGCTTTTTTTTTATTGTGAGATCGGTCCTCACTCTGTCACCCAGGCTGGAGTACAGTGGCGCAATCTTGGCTCACTGCAACCTTCACCTCCCAGGTTCTAGCATTTCTCCTGCCTCAGCCTCCTGACTAGCTGGGATTACAAGCGTGCGCCACCATGCCTGGCTAGTTTTGTATTTTTAGTAGAGACGGGGTTTCACTCTGTTAGTCAGGCTGGTCTTGAACTCCTGACCTTGTGATCCGCCTGTCTCAGCTTCCCAAAGTGCTGGGATTACAGGTATGAGCCACCGTACCCGGCCCACCTGAGTGGTTTTGTTTGAGACAGTCTGGCTCTTTTGCCAAGCTGGAGTGCAGTAGCATGATCTCGGCTCACTGCAACCTCTGCCTCTCAGGTTCAAGCCATTCTCCTGCCTCAGCCTCCTGAGTGCCTGGACTACAGATGCGTGCCACCATGCCCAGCTAATTTTTGTATTTTTGGTAGAGACTGGGTTTTACCATTTTGGCCAGGATGGTCTCGATCTCTTGACCTTGTGATCTGCCTGCCTTGGCCTCCCAAAGTCCTGGGATTACAGGTGCCAGTCACCACGTCCAGCCTGAATACTTTTTTCCTTAGCCAAATAATTTACTTAAATGTCAAATTCTCAAATAAGTGCTTACTAGTTCAACAATTCCTTCCTTCCATAGCTATTAACCTTCTAAGACGAAAAGCTGTCTTTCTCAGATTAAAATGTTCAGCATTTAGTGGGGTTTATCACCTTCCATCCCTCATCCTAAGAAAATCTGGTAGAAGGAGTGCAGGGAATGGGAATCAAGAGATCTTCATGCCAGCTGGGCGTGGTGGCTCATGCATTGTAATCCTAGCACTTTGGGAGGCCAAAGTGGGCAAATCACCTGAAGTCAGGAGTTTGATACCAGCCTGGCCAACATAACGAAACCCCATCTCAACTAAAAATACAAAAACTAGCCAGATGTGGTGGCGCACATCTGTAGTCCCAGCTACCCAAGAGGCTGAGGCAGAAAAACTACTTGAACCTGGGAAGCGGAGGTTGTAGTGAGCTGAGACGGTACCACTGTACTCCAGCCTAGGCAACAAAGTAAGACTCTGGAAAAAACAAACAAACAAACAACTTATCAAAGTCTACCAACCACAACAATGAACAGAAGACAAACCTCAACTCAAAAGTGAAATTCCTACCTAGAACAGCTATATTTATGTTGCCCATTTTCAATATCAATTTTATTAACTATCCTTGATTATTTTATGCTATATGTACCATTATGAAATGAGTTCTGGTTCCCTATAAGAATCCTGTTTACCTTTACTGGATAATGGTGAAAGGTAAACACAAAGCAAAAAGCAAACTATGGGACAGAAACAGCCTTACACAACATAAAAGCTGTGGCCAGTTCCTCTAAAACTTACTGGTTGTTTGTCTGTTTGTTTTGTAGAGATGAAGTCTCACTATGTTGCCCAGCCTAGTCTCAAACTCCTGGCTCATGCAATCTGGCTGCCTCCTGCCTCCCAAAGTGCCGGGGATTATAAGCATGAGCCAGCTTAACTTACTGTCTTTATGAATATCCTTTTCCCTGATAAGAAAACTTAAAATAGTAAACTTCTGTAGAAACTGCCAAAATTCATACTCAACGCTGAAGGAAAACATAACCAAAGTTTAATTTGACATAAATAAAAATCAGAATATATAATATATAATACAATATAAATCATGAGCTTAATACTTTGGAAATCTTACTTGAGGAAAGATCATAATGTTCTCAGATTAGACAACAGCAGTTTCTTCAACAGTTTTAAAGACTAACTTATGTCATAGTTTTGTTTTTTTCTTTTTCTGAGAAAGGGTCTTGCTCTGTCTCCTAGGCTGGAGTGCAGTGGTGTAGTCACGGTTCATTGTAGCCTCGACCTCCTGGGCTCAGGTGATCCTTCTGCCTTAGCCTCCCCAAGTAGCTGAGACTGCAGCCACACACTACCATATCTGGCTAATTTTTAATTTTTTTTTGTATAGATAGGGTCTTCCTATGTTGCCCAGGCTGGTCTCAAACTCCTGGTCGCAAGCGATCTGCCTGCCTTGTCTTCCCAAAGTAGTAGAATTACAGATGTGAGCAACAACACCCAGCCTCTGTTAGAGCTTTTTAAGGAACCAAGTTATATGCTCTTTAGGCACCAGAAACCACTTAACCAGCCAGGTGCAGTCTATGGTAGGCTGCACCTGTAGTCCCAGCTACTTAGGAAGCTGAGGCAGGAGCACCCCTTGAGCCCTGGAGTTCAAGGCTGCAATGAACTACGATCGTGCCACTGCACCCCAGCCTGGGCAACAGGGTGAGATTCTGTCTTTGTTTGTTGTTGTTGTTTTATTTTGTTTAGATGGAGTCTCACTCTGTCGCCAGTGCAATGGCGCACTCTCAGCTCACAGCAACCTCTGCCTCCCAGATTCAAGCAATTCTCCCTGCTTCAGCCTCCTGAGTAGCTGGGATTACAGACATGTGCCAACACACCCAGCCAATTTTTGTATTTTTAGTAGAGACGGGGTTTCACCATGTTCACCAGGATGGTCTCAATTTCTTGACCTCGTGATCTGCCCGCCTCGGCCTCCCAAAGTGCTGAGATTACAGGCATGAGCCACCACGCCCAGCTGACTGTCTTTCAAAAACGAAAAACAACCCGTTAGCCATGTATATGCTGAACAAAAACTGACATACAGTAATTATCAATAAAAGCTCCTAGAAACAGACTAACATTGTTTTCAATTTAAAAACATCATGTAATAAGAAATATAAGAGGATTCAAAATATAAAAATATTTTTCCAACCCCAAGTTTGTGACCACTGCTTAATTTCCAGGCTTCACCCGTCATCTGATAAAAGCGCTCCTCCAGTTTTTTCAACTTCATTTCCTGGTGAGGTTTTAAAACGTTCTCTATGTATCTGCTGACCTGTTCAAAACAACAAATTAGGTGTCGTTACTATACATTAATGTTCCTAAACAGGTATGCTGTCTATAAACTTGTAAACAGCCAAGTAAGAGCCCTGCTGGTTCAACAGAGCCGCTGCCACCGTGTTTGGCTGCTTGGTTGTGGGGAGGCTGGCGCAGACAGCTGGACAGCAAGCTGGTCAGACATTTGTTTTTTACCTGCCTGATTATGAAAGTATCAACCAGGATGTGGTTTTTATTCTGGGAACAATCCCATTTCCTAAGAGAATGGGAGGATCTACTTTTCCTATCCTGATCCAAATGGAATGCCAGTATGGCAACTCCAAGGATTTGTCACAAATGGGAAACCAAGTGCCATCTTCAGAATTTCAGGTCTTAAATCTGGAGAGGGAAGAGCAATATCCTTTTTTTTTTTTTTTTTTGAGATGGAGTCTCACTCTGTTGCCCAGGCTGGAGTGCAGTGGCACGATCTTGGCTCACTGCAACCTCCGCCTCCTGGGTTCAAGTGATTCTCCTGTCTCAGCCTCCCAAGTAGCTGGGACTACAGGCATGTGCCACCATGCCCGGCTAATTTTTGTTTTTAGTAGAGACAGGGTTTTACCATGTTGGCCAGGCTGGTCTCTAACTCCTGACCTCAAGTGATCCACCCTTCCTGGCCTCCCAAAGTGCTAGCATTATGGGCATGAGCCACCGCACCCAGCCCCAAATTTTTTTTTAAATTAGCTGAGCGTGGTGGTGTGTGCCTGCAGTTCCAGCTACCCGAGAAGCTAAGGCAGGAGGATCTCATGAACCCAGGAAGTTGAGGCAACAGTGAGCTATGGTTGTACCACTGCACCCCAGCCTGGCCAACAGAGTGAGGCCCAGTCTCAAAAAAATGTGGTATATAAATTCAGTGGACAATTATTCATCCACAAAAAGAAATGAGATGCTGATACATGCTATAGTATAGAAGAACCTGGAAAACACTATGCTAAATCAAAGAAGTTAGACACATAAGGTCACATGTTATACAACCCCATTTATAAGAAATATCCAGAACAGGTAAATCCATACCAACAGAAAGCAGATTGGTGGTATCCAGAGGATGGGAGGAGGGGATAGCAGGGAGTGACTGCTTAAAGAGTATACAGTTTTCTCTAAGGGGACTGAACAGAGTTGTATGACCTTGCGAATGTACTAACTATCACTGAACTGCTTGGTCAATTTTGGCTGGGCGTGGTTGCTCACACCTGTAATCCCAGCACTTTGGGAGGCCGAGGCAGATGGATCACCTGAGGTCAGGAGTTTAAGACCAGCCAGGCCAACATGGTGAAACCTCATCTCTACTAAAAATACAAAAATTAGCTGGGTGTGGTGGTGCGTGCCTGTAATCCCAGCTACTTAGGAGCCTGAGGCAGGAGAATCACTTAAACCCAGGAGGTGGAAGCCACCGCACTCCGGCTTGGGCAACAACAGTAAGACTCCAACTCGAAAATAATTAAGTAAAATAAAATGGTCAATTTTATGTCATGTGAATTTGACCTCAATATATATTTTTAAAAAATCTTATCATAAAGACAGAAGCAACAGACCTTTATTTATTTATTTATTTATTTATTTATTTATTTATTTATTTATTTCAAATGGAGTCTTGCTCTGTCGCACAGGCTGGAGTGCAGTGACGCCATCTCGGCTCACTGCAACCTCCCAGATTCAAGCGATTCTCCTGCCTCAGCCTCCCCAGGAGCTAGGACTACAAGCGTGCACCATCATGCCCAGCTACTTTTTTGTATTTTTAGTAGAGACGGGGTTTCACCGTGTTAACCAGGATGGTCTCAATCTCCTGGCCTCATGGTCCTCCCGGCTCAGCTTCCCAAAGTGCTGGGATTACAGGTGTGAGCCACTGCACCTGGCCCAGAGCTTAATTTTAATTGCCTCAGATTTTTGTATTTCCTGATGCATAAAGTCTGTAAAAATTCTGCCTTACCTTCTCTCCTTGTGTCTCTTGTTGTTTTTTTCTCACAAGTTTTTGTCTTTTCTCATTCTTCTCTTCCTCTTCTAAGACATTAAAACATAAAAGTGCTTTTTATTTCCCAAGTATCTCATAACCAAATGATTTACCAAAAGAAAGAAAACATCTAAAATCTACAGTTGGGAGACCCTAACACATCACACTGTCATTTATGTTTGGGTTGACAGTATAACCTTTTAGGATTATGATTTTATTCATAGTTAATTTGAAAGGGCTATACACTAAATATTGCTCACTTTCCTTTTATTTGCTTACAGTTAAATAGTAAAACACAATGTACCAAATTCATTAATGACAAGTTTCCTCCTAATAGCATAGAAAATATGTAGTTTTGGGTTTTAAGATTCACCTGTTCTGAGGCTAAGCACAGTACTATTTTAAAAGGCTTCTATGACTCTCAAACTTTTCTTATCAAAAGTAAAACAGGATGGGCAAGGTGCCTCAAGCCTGTAATCCCAACATTTTGAAAGGCTGAGGCAGGTGGATCACTTGAGCTCAGGAGCTACAGACCAGCCTGGGGCACATGGCGAAATCCCACCTCTACAAAAAGTATAAAAATTACCCAGGGGCAGTGATGCACCCCTGTAGACCCAACTACTCAGGAGGCTGAGGCGGGAGGATCACTTGAGCCTGGGAGGGAGGGGGGTTGCAGTGAGCCAAGATCATGCCACTGCATTCCATCCTTGGTGACAGAACGAGACTCTGTCTCAAATTAAAACAAAAAAGAGGCCAGGCGTGGTGGCTCATTCCTGTAATCCCAGCACTTTGGGAGACCAAGGTGGGCAGATCACAAGGTGAGGAGCTCAAGACCAGCCCGAGCAATGTGTTGAAACCGCATCTATATTAAAAAACACAAAAATTAGCCAGGCGTGGTGGTGCACAACTGTAGTCCCAGCTACTCAGGAGGCTGAGGCAGGAGAATCGTTTGAACCCAGGTGGTGGAGGTTGCAGTGGGCCAAGATCACACCACTGCACTCCAGCCTGGGTGACAGAGCAAGACTCCATCTCAAAAAAAGAAAAGAAAAAAATCATGACTAAAGTTGTAATGATTACTCTAAGTTCTAGAATAAAGAAATTTAAATAGAATGGTATAAAAGGGTAGCATAAATAATAAACTTACCCTTCATATGAAGTTGGGAAGATTTGAATGAGTTAAGCCATGAGGTAGTCACAGAAATAATTAAAGTAAGAAGAGCAAGCAGTAAAAAAATCCGGCCACAAAACAAAAGAAAATCCTTGATTCCTGATAAAGGAAAAAAAACTAAAATTAAAATGCAAAACTTTTTCTTTCTTTTTTTTTTTTTTTTAAAGAGATGAGGTCTCATTATGTTGACCAGGCTGGTCTCAAGCTCCTGAGCTCAAGTGATCCTCCAGCCTTGGCCTCCCAAAGTGCTAGGATCATAGGTGTGAGCCACCACGTCCAGCCCCAGACATTTTTCTTGATACCCCTAATTTTATAACATGTTATACAACTGTCTTACAATTTTGTTCATATATAATCATCCCTCAGAATTCATGGGGTATTGGTTCCAGGACTCCTGAGGATACCAAAATCCACAGATGCTCAAGTCCCTGATATAAAATGGCATGGTTTTTGCATATTATCTATGCTCCCACATACTTTAAATCATCTATAGATTACTCCTAATACCCAATACAATGTAAAGGCTACATAAATTGTTCCTATACTTTTATTGTTTACTGAAAATGACAGGGAAAAGTCTGTACATGTTCAGGATAGGACACACAGACAACCATCCATTTATTCTTTTTTTTGAGACAGTTTCGCTCTTCTTACCCAGGCTTGAGTACAATGGAACAATCAAGGCTCACCTCAACCGTCACCTCCCGGGTTTAATTGATTCTCCTGCCTCGGCCTCCAGAGTAGCTGGAATTACAGGTGTGTGCCACCATGTCCAGCTATATCCATTTTTTTTTTCCAGAATATTTTCTTTTCTTTCCTTCAGTTTTATTTTTGTTTTTTGTTTTTAGAAACAGGGTGTTGCTCTTCTTGCTCTTGCTCTGCCACCCAGTCTGCTGGAGTGCAGTGGTAAGAACATCAGGAGGTCCCAGCCTCGACCTCCTGGGTCTGAAGCGATCCTCCTGCCTTAGGCCCCCCCACCCCGCCCAGGTAGCTGGGACTACAGGCATGTACCACCACACCCAGCTAATTTCTGTAATTTTTGTAGAGATGGGGTCTCGTCGTGTTGTCCAGGTTGGTCTTGAACTCCCGAACTCAGGCAATCCGCTCACCTCAGCCTCCCAAAGTCCTGCGATTAGAGGCATGAGGCACCGCACCCAGCCCTTTCTGAACAGTCTCAATCCACAGATGCTTAAATCCTCAGATGTGGAACTCATGGGTACAGAGGGCTTACTGTATTCTCCTTTGGGCATTAAAAAACTCATGATGGTTGCCATTTCCAGGACAAACTTTCTTTCTTTTCAAACCTGTGAGTTCATTTTAAATTTTTTTTGTTTTTTTAGTTTTTGTTTTTTGCAGAACAAATTTTTAAAGCATAATTCTAGGATAAACACTGTCTTGGGAATATAGTTAAAATTAGAGCAATCAACTACATTATAAACATTATGACTATCAGTAATGTATAAGCTCTAGTTTCCCATCTGGAGAAAATTACGTAAGTAGAAATAAAATTGTGAAAATACCGTGTCAAATTCTAGTTCTATCATAAACAGTCAATCCACTGAAACACCAAATTCTTACTTCTCACAATTAAATTGTGCAATTGTGTGCTTCTTTATTTCTTGACATTTAGTCACTTGTAAGTAAAATTATGATTTAAATGCTTGCCTAGGAAAAAGTAAAAATATAGTATTTGGTCTTAATAACCAAAGTAAAAATTATTTGAGCAAAAATCTAACTATTACCTACTTTGCATAATACAATTTGGCAAATGTTAAGGGCCAGGAGACAAAGCTGGGTTAAAAATGATTTCCATCCTCAGAATTTTTACTCTTTATTTTTTAATTTTCAAAAGATAAATGGCAGAGATATAGAGGAACCATCTTGCCAATGTGATCAAGGCTGGTAATTAGTCAATTAACTAAAACTTAAAGGTGGAATTAGGAAAACATACATATAGACCAGGCATGGTGGCTCACACCTGTAATCCCAGTACTTTGGGAAGCCAAGATGGGTGAATCACCTGAGGTAAGGAGTTCAAGACCAACCTGGCCAACATGGTGAAACCCCATCTCTACTAAAATACAAAAATTAGCTGGGCATGATGGCAGGTGCCTGTAATCCCAGCTACTTGGGAGGCTGAGGCAGGAGAATATCTTGAACCCAGGAGGCAGAGGCTGCAGTGAGCCAAGATTGTGCCATTGTACTCCAGCCTGGGTGACAGATTGAAGCTGTCTCAAAAAAAAAAAAAAAAAAAAAAAAACCCACACAC